TGGTAATTAACAAGGGGAAGTTTATACTTTCTTTCGAGAGACTTCAAGATAAATTAATGTGCTTTTCTTTTTCTTAATAGGTATGAAGACTATTATTACTACCCTCCGCCTCGCATGCCACCTCCTATTAGAGGCAGAGGCCGTGGAGGGAGAGGTGGATATGGCTATCCCCCAGATTACTATGGCTATGAAGATTATTATGATGATTATTATGGTTATGACTATCATGACTACCGTGGTGGCTATGAAGATCCCTATTACGGCTATGATGATGGCTATGCTATAAGAGGAAGAGGAGGAGGAGGAAGGGGTGGGAGAGGTGCACCTCCACCACCTAGGGGGCGGGGAGCACCACCACCAAGAGGTAGAGCTGGCTATTCACAGAGGGGGGCACCCATGGGACCGCCGAGAGGAGCCAGGGGTGGGAGAGGGGGTCCTGCACAGCAGCAGAGAGGACGCGGTGCTCGTGGAGCCAGGGGCAACCGTGGGGGCAACGTAGGAGGCAAGAGAAAGGCAGATGGGTACAACCAGCCTGATTCCAAGCGTCGTCAGACCAACAACCAGCAGAACTGGGGCTCCCAACCCATCGCTCAGCAGCCGCTCCAGCAAGGTGGTGACTATGCCGGTAACTATGGTTACAATAATGACAACCAGGAATTTTATCAGGATACTTATGGGCAACAGTGGAAGTAGACAAGTGAGGAGGGATCGAGAATTTTGGAAACATAGAATTGGCTATAGCTCTACATACTTCAAAACAAAATTGGCTTAATGTTTCATCCTTCAGTAGCGATTGGCTGCCATTTGTATTGGGCTGAAGAATCACTCTATTGTGTATATACTCGAGTCTCTTAGTTTTCTTTTTTTTTTTTTTTTTCTTTTTTTTTTCATAAATGCACTTGGACATTACTGGGCTTGCAGAATTCCTGAACTCCATATGGGGTTTCAATGCTTTTATCATTTTAGGCTTCATTTTAGCAGTTTAAAAGCAGGAATGGCACACTGTTCAATCATGATTTTGCAGAACCTCTGGTTTTTGGACAGTTTTTTTTTTTTTTTGGATTTGGGATAGACTACATAGGAGTATGCTGTACATAAAAGTAAAAGCTAGTGCTTTGTCTTAGTAGTTTTAAGAAATTACGACAAATTAAGTTTTCTTGTATTGAAAATAACATGATTGTATGTTTTGCATTCCTAGAAGTAGGTTAACTGTGTTTTTAAATTGTTATAACTTCACACCTTTTTGAAAATCTGCCCTACAAAATTTGTTTGGCTTAAAACGTCAAAGCCGTGGCAATTTGTTCCTTGATGTGATTGTATTTCCAATTTCTTGTTCATGTAAGATTTCAATAAAACTCAAAAATCTATTCAAAACATCACCTATTTCAAATTCAATTGTGTCCTAAAACATTATTTCATTGGTAATTCTTGCGAAAAACATTGTTTTCAAAGTATAACTGCCTATGTGAGTGATCAAATTCATGCAAAATTTCTTGTGCTTTCCAACATGTAGCACTGTGGACATCAGACTGAAAACTAGGAGAAATTACAAATAGCCTGAAGGGCACTCTTTGTTTAATTGCTGCTCAGTAACTTACCAGCATCTAATTTGGGAACTTTTTTTTTGTTTTAAGTGTTGAAATGTACCCAAACATTCATGGAAATCTGATTCAAACATAATTCTCTAATGTGGAGAAGGAAGCAGAGCCTACAATGGTGTTAATTTTGTTCCTTTTTCTTATGTACTGTGAAGTCCCTCTAGAGACTATTCTGTTAGGGTCCAACCATATTGTATTCCGTGTACAAATACACAGAAGTGGTTTTGATCTCGAGCATCTCAATTTAATTAAAGATAATATTTGAGTAGGGATGAGAATTGATGAGCTAGGTGCTGTGGCACAACAAACTTTTTGCTACAGATAACACAAACATACTCTCCATGTTCTCCGTAATTCTACCTTGATGTTTTCATTTGATGTTCTGCCATGATGAACAATTTGCCTTAGAATTCTCATGCCTTGTAATAAAGGCTGTTTAAAAATTACATCTTATCTTTTGGGGAGATTCCTAGCTATGTTATTTTGGGGTATTATGTGTTGCTTTTATTGACCTTTGTCTTGGACATTCCCAGATGTCAATTTTAACTGGCGAGTCATGACATTCTTCTGTTGCATCTGAGCCATTCTGTACCCCAATGAAGAACATTTGCTTCTCAAGAAAGAGAAACAAAAGGATTTAATCTTTCTCTAAAGAAAACTATTGCTGGACCTCTAAATATCCAAATCAAATACGTTGCTCATACTCGATTACAGCATTATAAACAGACTATTGGGCAAGTTAAGCTTCAGTGGTCATACTCCTCCCTTTGTCTTCTATTCCTGTCTGGTGTCTTTGAATTGTATTTTGTCAGAAATGTTAACAAAAAGATGAGCCTTCCCACCCTTTACTTATTGTGGGACTGGTATATAATTGCATGGTTTGAGTTTAATTGAAGCGAGGATGGTTCGCAAAAACGGGTTTGCCCCTTTTTCAGGCTCTCCCTTTCAAATTAATGTAACTGGTTGTTAATTTAAAAAAATGCTTTCCAAAGTTAGTATTTTAGTATGTTAAAGCCTTTTTTTCTTTTTGTTCTTGTTTTTTATTTCATAAAGTTAATGGGGCCAAATCCTGTCCTCTCTGTTCCTTACTTGAGCAGTGAAGTCAGAGGGGTATTGCCTGGGTATGCGTTTCAGGCTTTTGCTTGTGGTAAGGATATGGCTTGTAATTTTGTTTTGATACAAGGAATTGCTGTTCTATTAGTATGACTTTATAGTAATTATATAGACTTCGCAGTATTGATCAGAACCCTGTAGTCTGAATAGATATGCATTAGTCATTGGGAAGGGGATCTGGCTTAGGGCACTTTAATTGGATTCAAATTTTAAGCACTGTCCATCCTGGAAGAGAGGTAGTGACTTGCAGAGTGGATTTCCAGTGATAGCCCAGGAGAGATGAAGCCCCAGTGCATGCTTATGGGGGGAGGGAGGCGTGGGGAAGTGAAACACTTCAGTTCTAATGTTTACAAGGCACCTAAGTAACAAAAATTGTGTTCCTCAAGAACTGTAAAGCTGCATCTTGTATTTGTTTCTGCCAAAATCGCTAATTATCCAAATATTTCTATTGAACATGACAGTTGTCTACATTTTTATATCTGAAAATGAAAATCTGTAAGAGTTTATATTTATAGCATTACCAAGTTCTGCAATTTATGTGATTGATGGATACTTAAGTTCACCTTTTAAATTTGCAACAGCACCCCACTGAGTCCATAAAGATCACGTGTACTCCAGCTTAGTCCAGTAGTGATGTACCATGAACTCAGCTTATCCAATGAAATTATCGGGATAAAAAAGGGGGCAAAATACTGTAGCACAGTGGGAAAATCTACTGTACGTGATGAGAGACACTCGAGGGAAGAATCTTCTCAGCACAATTCTGATATATAGTCAAAGGAAAAAATAAATTTACTCTCATGCATCTGTTTTGATCTTTTCTTCAGTATAACTTAGCAAAATTCCTCTTATAAAGTATGTTGAAAGTGGACTTCAATTTGTAAGCCAATATTAAACTTCTATCAGTGTCCTGCTGGCATTGGAGGAGGAGCCATGAAATGGGATTGTAGTAATCATTTGATCACTCATTTATAGCAGTTGCTTAATGTCTGTATTGATGTTTGATTTATAAGTAATAAAAAAGTAGGTTGCTAGATTTATAGCAATTCCAAAACTTTTGAGCAAAACGTTTTACAGCTATTATGTTGTTGTAGGCTTACTTGCGCATTATTAACATCATCAATTTACTAAATTCAGCTCTTAATTTTACTAATTCGTTAAGTATAATCTGCATTTTCCAAAGTATTAAAAGGTTTGTTTATTTTTTTGTAGCAACTGTTTACTTTCAGGACTCATCATCTATAGCATAATTATCAGAAAGAATGACAACTGCATTGCTTAAAGCTTTTTCTAAATAAACTCTCAAGTCTCAGTAGACGTTCACCATTAAATATTGGTGACTGTAAAACCCTGACCATTTTTTGACCTCTCTGCATTTGGACTTGAAGCCCATTTCTGTATTTTGAACTACACAGTAAAAATACAGAAGACACTCTTATTATAAGGCTAGCAGGAAAATTAATTGGAGGTATTGAGCAAAATGTCTTCAGTCTCTTAGAAAAGAAGTGTTTGGCACCTGGGCCTGCAGACTCTGATGTAATGGATTAACTCTCAGCAAGGCTTAATAGTTGTCCACAAATTATGAGCCTGGCCCTTGTGTTGAGCAGCAAGGACCCAGTCCTGTGTATTTTTCCCAGGCAGTCTTTGGGTCATATGTGAGTGCTTAAGGGATGAAGGATTATTTGCATATTGAAAGTATGCCGGATTGGATTGTGGCTACTTGATAGCTCAGAGCCTTATAGAAAGAGTGTGCTGAGTTGTGTTTCTTGTTTATTAAAAACAAACAAAGCAAACAAAACTCCCCAAGAACTCTGAGCTTCTGTTAACTTAGTATTGAAAGGAAGCTGTTTGGATGCAGTATTTTGGCTTAAAGCATTTTGAAACCAAGTAGCTACATTTCGTGTAATTTAGTTAATGAAAACTGTAGAGAAGGAATGAAAAATCATTGAAGGGGATCTTCATTTCTCACCCAAACAAAACAGTCAGGGTGTATCTGCAGCGTTTGGATATTGATCAGGAGCTCTTGAAATTTGAGAATAGAATAATCCCACTGAAGAAGTTTTAAAACAATCTGGAGGTTACCAGAAGCTCTGAAAGACAGTTCAGAATATATTGCATCACATTTTCTGATGTCCAGAAATGTGCAAGTGTCAATTTTGTATTTTAACTCCTTCCTTTTACCTGACTATCAGGGAAGCGTGATTGAGGCTGACCTGACATGTCATGATGTCGACTTGCTAGGTGGGGGTCGCAAGGGACATTAACCTTGGAGTTATCGGTAAGACAACTTTCTTTCTAATTTACTTTGGTGAGATTAAAGGGCTTTGGGTGGGAGGGGTTGGCGTGGGGGGAGGAGGTGATCTCCACAGCCCTGATCGCTGGAATATTGTTGAAAATCTACTTCTGCCATGGAGAGATTCCAAGCACTGAAAATAAAGTGACTGGTGCTTCAAGAGAAAAATGGGTGATGCTATTTTAGAGATGCTGGAAGCATAAATGGTTTTGAACACTTACTTTTTTTTTTTCTTCTGTAATCAAAGCTAGATGTGTATATATATATTTTTCCTATCGTGAGAAAGCAAAGACCTTAGAGCACACTTCTTCAAAGTCTTAAGAATGCTGTAAAAATGTGTCCAAGTAGATCTTTGCAATAAAATTTTATCTTGAAAATGAGAACCAAAACTGGCATATCATGAGTTTGGATCATTTACCTTCTGAATATGACAATCCTATCATGTAACAGTTGTGAATGAATTTCTGATGAACTGAGGGGCACTTATAGCTGGTCCCAGTAGAAAACATCAGGAGAACAGGACTTAAATTGTCATAGTTGTTTCTTTCTGGGTAAGGTATGTTATGTGTATTATAGGCAAATAGCAATAGCTGAAGATGGATTTTGGAAGCGTTGCAGATGAAACTTAAAATACTTAGGCATCTTGATAGAAGGAGTCCCTCATGGCAACTGCTTACCTTGCGCATTTCTTTCCTCCACCAGCAGGGTCGAAACTTTCTTTTCCTGAGTCCACGACGCAGTGCTTACAAAGGAGCAGAGAAGTTGAAAGAGCTTAGTGGGCTATAGAAGGATTTCCAGTTTAGTCACTCGTTAGCAAGAAGTTGAAGGGCATGCCAGTTCTAGGAGTGACATCGATAGAGAAGAAATGTAACTGGTTGAGTGGAGGTATCTATAATAATTTCTGGTATGAAAATATATTTAGTTATTCCCAGGTGTACCTTACTTGGAATACATTTCTTTGATAGCACTCAACTGCACCCAACTTTGACTGCAGAGAAGTTATTCTTTACCCTTTTTAATTCCAAGTAACGAGTGTGAAATGCACCAGTACATGCTTACATGACAGTATTCCAACATACCTTGAGACATTTCAATGTGAGCATGCAGTGGATGCATACCTAACCTGCATTTTAACAGGATGTGGAAGTAACATAAATTTTGTGACAGGAAAGAAAATGTAATGTGGGAGAACATTCAGCTGTCTTAACAACGAATGCTCTCTCTTTCAGTTCCTTGCTGTGCTTACGTTTCTGCAGGAGTTGAAGCAGTGAAACCTGCACAAACTGAAAGACCTGTGTTTAAAAATAGTTCAGGTGTGTAATTCAGGCAGAATCGTAATGCGTGCACTCAGAAGAACTGGATAGAAGTTGTAAAATAGTAACTTTGGTATTTAGATGTTTCCTGTGTTTGCTTTCTTTAACCCATTCTTGGATGCGTTGTTGGTTTGCTTCTTGTTAGGTGTGATCTCAAACCCTGCTTGAATTTAGTTTTCAAATACAGTGTGTTATGAGTGAGCAAAAAAGTTAGTGCAGCTCAATGCTGGCAGCAGCTGGAGAGCAAGCACCAACGTGAATAGGAATTCCATTTTATATTCCATATCTGTTTTATAAGACCACAGATTTTAAACTCATCCTTACAGGTTTTCACTCAAAACCAGTTGTGCTTACGTTGTTCTTTCTGTTGATGTGGATGTGCTTCATCCTCGTTTTTGTTTTGTTCAGTGCTTGTAGCACCTTATCTGCAAGCATTTAACATGCTATTTTGTGGAAATGCTGTTGATTTCAACAGCTGAATCATTTCAGTTAATACAGTTTTCCCAGGGAACTTGGATGAGGAGATTTGTTCAGTGTGGAGAATTCTGCTTTGCTCAGAGTTTACAAGCAGCCAAAAGGAGCCCTGTAAGTTATGTTTGACAGGATATATTTTCATTGCCATCCACTTAGTTATCAGTCATTTTCACCTTCGCTTACCCAGTAAAACCAGGATAAATGATTCTTCCTGTGAGACAGCAGATGAAGCCTGTTCGTATTCATCGCTGTATTTTCACTCTTGCCAGTCGCGAGGCATGAAATGCATCCTAATGCTCCTGTGATTCCTGTCTCATTGTTTCTGCTTGGATTGTTGCCTGTGACTGCATTTCAGGTATTTAGGTTGTTTGGAGGCAAAGGAGCAGAAAAAATATTTTCTGCTTATCTTTTTGTTTTGAACATACTGGAAAGGGAAGAGGTCCAGGCCTTCTGGAAAAGTAGAGAAGCCACGGTGCTGAGGAAGTCTGAGCCTGCAGCTCTTTACCAGAAGCTGTGAGAGCTCTTAGTTTTGAAGAATATCCTCTTGTCTGCCTTCAGTATAAACCTTACCAGAAGAGAAGTGCTTGCAGTGGGCTGTTCCTCCTCATCAAGTCTTTGTCCCAGAGCTTTTCTGTGGTCTTGCTCTGGGTGGGAATGTACTCAAAACCTGCTCTGAAGGTCAGGATGCACTCCTTGAGGTGGATCTTTTGAGTGCTAAGGAATAAAATACTCTTTATTTACAGTCAGAACAGTCTGTTCCTTTGGATGTCTCAGAGGGGCTCTGAATGTTGCACATCAGGTGAGGATAACTGTGTCTGTCAGCCAGCTGTCAGGCCTCTTAGGCAATTCCACATTCCCTTCCAGAACTGAACTCAGTTGTTTGATCCAGGTGTTCCATGTTAGAGAACCATTTGTGCAGGAGAGGCTTTGGCCTCTCTTTATCTTTCTAATACGAAAAACTTATGGATTAAATAAAATCACTGAGCAAGGATGTGCGCAGAGAAAGCTACACCTTCCAGACTTCACAAGGCTTTTCAGGTGTGAAAGGCAATTCTGAAGAGCTTCTCATTCCACAATTTCATTGGAAATGGCGTCAAGTATTCTTTTAGCAGCTGGGCTCAAGCTTAAGAGAGAAGCAGCAAAAGAGCATCAAATGACTGGCTATGTAGATAGGTGTTGCTGAAATGAGATGCAAACATGCTAGCACTTGAGTAAAGTGGTTTTATAGTAGATGACAAGATCTTAGTGCAAAAACAGCAAGAGTGGGTTGATTCAGCAAGCAATGCTTGAACCCTAGTAGCAGTAAATGCTTTTCTCTTACTGTTCTGTCCCATTCCTCCCCCTACTCCATCAAACAGAAAACAGTAATAATGGATTTTTAGTTAAATTTGAACTTGTTGAAGGAATACATTGAGGAATCACCATCGTTCTGAGGCGGTATTTAGAGTGTTTGTTCCTTTAATTTGCTAGTTTTCACTTAAATCTTTTACATCAGTTCATAGTTTTCTGTACTCTAATAATATAAAAGCCGTAAATTTGGGTGCTGTGGGATTGTATGATGACACTTACTGCAAGGTAGAGGGTTTTGACAGGCTGAGAAAGATTGCTTGTTTGGTTTTCTGTTTTTTGGTAGGCTTGTCTGTTGTGAACTGACAGCCATGTATTTTCAGTTACAGTTGCAAATATGGCATTTTGAGCATAAAGGTTTTCTACTGATTTGGACTCTCAGTGTTGTTTGTATCAGGGTTAGCTATGAAAGGTTTTTACTGCAAGGTATATACAGTGGTTTCCAGAGAGCCACAGCTTGGGGAACCCCTGCAGAGCTTCCAGAGGAGGATCATGACAGTGACTTTGGGAGTCCGCCGCTCTCACTGTGACACTTTCTTCCTCCTGTTGTACTTAAGTCTGCCTGAACTCTCAAGAAGGAAACTTCAGTTTGTTAATAAACCCTTTCCTCACCAACCAGGGTATGAATACAGCTAATTTAATATATCCCAAGTCTGTTTGCTTTGCATTTTTGCATCACTGGGAGGCAGCGATATGAAAGCAGTGTGTGTTGAACTGTGCAGCTTGTAGATTCTTTAAGAATCTGTCTTAAAATACAGCTGCAGCAGGAAGATGGTAAAGTAGTTTCTAGGAGTGAATAGAACTGTGAGTACTGCTGAAACACTACATTGTCTTCAACCACTCTGTTCCTTTCAAAGGAATTGTAGTGAGCATCATTTACTATTCCTGTATACTCAGCCATTATTCTACACTAACTTGTTTTTCTACTTCTGTGCCTCTGCATTTTGGTTTTTCAGTTGCACATTATAGGTGTATACTCTGTGGTTGATGCATGTTCTTCCCTTCTTAATGCCATATGTGTCTTTTGATTAACTACTGTTTAAGTGATACAGAGAGCTGCACATTTGCTGAATCCAGCATACTAGGAAAAGAAATTGTAGTTAACGTGCCTAAAAAGGTATACAAGAACAGCCTTACTGAAAACACTGAAAGAACCCAGTTCTTTTTGTTCAGTAGAATTATGGATAATACCATACCTTCCTTTCTTTGGCCAAATTGGGGACGTTCCTTCAGATGTGAGTTGTTGGAGACATTTATCTGGAGAAACTTCACCACCCAAATACTTGTAGTACGAGTAGTTTTTACCAGTTTAGCACCTGGTCTTTTGGTTTTCACTTTTTCCTCTGTTCCCACTGCCAGAACTCTTCATCTGACAGACCACCTGGAGCAGGAAGCAAGTTCTTCCAAACAGTGATTTCTTTCATCTCGGGTAGATGAGTATCTGGTGGTTTTCAGTTGTACAGATGTTTCTCAGTGCAAGAAAGCAGTTCTTTCTCATGCAGGCACTTCTCTTGCTAGTGCTTAGTATGCACTGGGGAACTGATCTAAGACAACACTGATGTTTTAATTCTCTGGTTTGGGTTTGTGTACAATTGAGGATGATACATGTGGAAGAGCCAGAATACTGCCTTCCTTTATTCAAATGACAATTAAAAAAAAAACCTGGTGATAATGTGCCCTATACAAGGCTAGAAAGAATGAGGAGTGGAGTGGGATGTACGTGGTGCTACTGTTCTGCCAGCTGAAGATAGGGAGTAAAACGTGGTACAGATGAGTGTGGAAAGATGTCAAGATGCGGCATCTTGTTCATTACAGCAGCTTTTAGTAGGGCTGTGCTCTAACTTCCTGCTCTGAAATCAGCTGATAAGATAGGCAGCACATTTTTGGTTCTTGCTGTTTGACTGAAATCTCCCTGTACCTGAAGAACACATTGGGACAGTTTATTTCTGGAACCAATCAGCATTCTTTCCTCGCAGTGTGCTCATCATGAAAGCAGGTCTTACTGGAGTGCCCATTACTGTGCACTTCTCAAACAAGAGCAGGTGAAGTCACCTCAGGTCTCTGAAACAAAAACACATAGGAAGTCTTTGAAAATCCTGAACTAGAATAAAAATGTCCAAGGGAATTTTTGCATGGGCGAAGGATTGCAAACACCAGCATCAAAATTGTACTGAAGTTGCATTAAAAGAAATGTGTTGTAGTCAGATGATGTCTCTCTCGTCTTTGTTCTTGCATCTTAGGTTTTCTGAAGATGATACTTAAGGACGGAGTAGCAGCAGCATTTGGGTAGGGAGAAGATAGCCTGATAAAGCTACGTGTTGTTTTAGGACTTTTTAAAAATTATTTTTAAAGAATGCTTAATGTGAACTGCATCTTTCCATTGTAATCTCCTCCTCTGTTGTTCAATTAGTCATTCTAGGAGTGCACCCTTTCTCAGTGGGGGTACAGAATAAACTGCTGTACAAGCATAATGGAAGTCTTGCTTAGTGTGAAATCTCAGCTTTCGAAAGCGAGAAGGTGCTCCTAGGCTTGGTGGCCAGCAGAGTGGTAGCAAGTAAGTAACAGTAACTGAGTTCTGTGCTGCCTTCTGTTGCTGTGTGCTTTTCAGCTTGAGATCCTACATGCTTGGAATGCTAACAAGTTACGTGCTTATATTAATCATCTCTATTCAAACATCTTGTATTTTTTAGGAAGCTCCCAGTTATGACTGAAAATATGTAGTACAGGGCAAAAACATACTTGAACTTTTTTATATATTAAAATGTGTATCATGCAGATGCTGAGCTGGACCTAGCCCTGGATACAGCTGTGTGTTGAGGCTGAGCTTTGTTCTTGAATATGGGTGTAGAATAATTCGCATGGATTCTCTGTTGGCAGCTGCTGAATCTGTTGGTAGGTGACAATGTCTGAATTTATGAATCTTCTGTGCAATAGAGACTGCAGTGTAGAAATATGTGATAGGACCTCCAGGGGGAAGCATAGGACAGGAAAGACCAGACTGGTTTCTAGCAGAGCCAGACTTTCTGATACACAGAGCCTTTGCTTGTGATAGCAATAAATCTTTTCTGTACCAAATTGAGACTACATAATTTTCATCTTGAAGAATAACACTGTCAGGCTTTAATACCAAAAGATTGGAAAGGACTCATTACTCATGGAGATAAGACTACCTGATGAAAAACGAGATGCAGTATGTGATTAAACACTTAGACCCTCCGCTAATTATATTCCTGGTTCAGTTCAGTCATTACAGCAATTCAGTGCAGGTGTGTGCTGTCTGGAAGAAGAGGAGTAATGGTAGAATTGAAAGAAGCAAAAGTCCAGAGCTGTGTAAAAAAAAAATATATATATATATATATATTATAATAATAATTTTTTTTTTTGTAAATTGCATAAATAAAACATCTTAGAAATGATACTTGTCTGCACAGCAATTGGAAATCAAGCTCCAAAAAAACCCTTTTTTTATTTCTTCAGTATGTAAGTGCCTGGTCCCTTTTATCTACTAATAATGTTTCAGCTTCTATTCTCATCTTGTCTCACATTACCCCAGAAGAATGTGCATGGTGCCATATGAACTGAGCAAGATGGTAAGTTAATCGTCTTTATACTTCAGAAGTTTGATTGCAGGCTTTTTTGGATACATTTCATTCCTGGTGTGGATGTGGCAGGGTGCTGTACTGCGCCACAGCATCAAGTGAAAGCATCCTGCCAATGTTCTGAAATGCATGAAGAAATGAGAAAGAATGCATTTCCCCTGGGGGAATCCCAGCCTGCAGGAATGCTGTGATACTGAAGAGCTCAGGCAGCTTTGCAGCGTGGAGCTGCTCTTCAGCTTCTGAATGATGCATCTCATCAACTGGGGTCCTAACAGGAGGGAAAGGGCTTCTGAGAGCACAGCCATTGGACACATCATAGCTTCTTGTGCTCTGTACCACATTCTTACCCTTATTAAAATAATACCCAGTATAATCAAACTGTATTTCTTCAGTTACATCAAGGCTAATTTTGGCCTGGTGCTTTCAGCATTAGAGTAGCTCAGACAGACTTCTTGATGGAAGTATTTTTGAGTGCTTTTTACAATCCTGCACACAGATTTCAGTTGTATCCTGATGTAAGAAGTTTTAGCACCCCAGCACTGTGCTGTAGCAGATCATGTTGGCCTTGGGATGGCTGAGGATGGCTTTTCAATGTCTGCAGACTACATGGGGGAAAAAGAACACCAAAAAGAAACTGCCAAGTGGAGAAATGAGGACACAGATCATAGGAATCTCTCTTTTCTTTTCGATATTATTGTTGTATTTTTAAATATACTTTTCTGAGTGTTTTGTAGGTTTCCTGGCTCTGTCCCTATCAATCTCTCATATGATTCATCGTGCACTGCAGTCAGAAGGCTTGACTTGCAGTTCTCTTTTGCTTTAGAGCTAATTCTCCATGCCAACATTCACAACAACAAAATTGAATAGGGAAGCGAATATTTCACTTTTTCTTGAGTTTCAATTGAAGTGTTTAGGAAGTTGGACCTTGATTAGCTTTTGGTAGAGCTGAAATAGAGGGATAGTTATATAACTGCCCAGCTGTTTGTGAGAAAGCACCTTCATTTGGTGCCATCTGAGTCATGTCAGTGTCTTCTGAGAGGTGCCTGCTGCTTTGCAGGGCTCATCTGGAGTAATTGGGAGACTTCATAATACCATATGATTTAAAAAAAAAAATAAAGGGAGAGCAAAATAAAAATCAATCATCCTTTGCCTTAACAGATTCCAGTTTCTGCTTTTTGGTTGTTCTGTTTTCATTTTTGTTTTTTGCATGATCTGTGTTGAGAGAAGAAGAAAACAAAAGAATAGCCCTGGTGTTTTGTTTATCCCTGATGTAGGGAAGAACTGAATAATACTGCATCTTCTGGATAGAGAAGGGCAGGCATTTGGATGCTGAAGGTTGATAAGATACAGTGCAACTTCTGTCTCTTGGCCTTTAGTGCCCTTTGCAGTGCTGGAAGTTTTGTTTTTGTTGCATGTTTCTCATTTTGGTGTTTTGATGGTATTCCAGATGGAAGTATTAGGGAGGGGAAGACGAACATCTAGACTGGAGAAGAAAGTTAGTTAATTTATCAGACCCTAATACCTAGGAAGGAGGAGATGGGGTTCCTTCCATAATGATGTTCCTGTGGTGGGATGTAATGAAGGGAAGCGAGCAGGAATCCCTGAGTGGAGCTGCTGAGGTCCTCTTAAGCCAAGCTGGTTTGTCATGCTCCAGGTCAGATAAATCTGTATTGTCAGGTTGTGCACAGAAAGGTCTTAAGCTGTTTCCAGAGTAGATATGGCCCTGAAAGCAATGGGTTCGTACACATCTTGTGCTGGATTCCTGAGGCCTGGCTCTGAGCTGGCTCAGCACAGGGCTGATGCGTGGCTGACTTTAGCCCTGCTCAGAGGGCTGACTGCACGTGTTAAGGAGCACCTTGGAGATCTGATTCCCCTGAAGGAATGCTCACGTGGAGTAATGAATGTGCTTTCTGGAATTCTACAGTCACGAGGATTCTGACAGCAGTGACGTGCTCTAGAAGCATCAGTGTCTGCTGGTTCTCCTATAGTTGTTAACTGCTTATTTTCAGTTGTCAAATCCTTTCATTCTGTCTCTTCTGTATACTGGCTCTCTTCTGAGTTCAGGTGGCTCCTGCTGCCACTCAGCACGTGCTGCATCAGGTGGGAAAGGTGGGCCTGGCATTCAGATTTGCAGCAGTTCCTCTGCCTGCAGCTCCTGCTTCATTCACAGATGTGCAAAGCCTGGCACACGTGGGGCCTTTCCAGTTTCACTCATGAGCTCAGTGAAAGGGTATTTCCTGCTCTTAGCAAAATCCTAACAAACCAAGAAATCAGCAGTCAAAACTACATAGCTTTGCTTGCAACTTTTCACCTCTTGATATTCTGTGGTCCTTTTCCATTTGGGCTTTGACCCTTTCTTTTTGAAATGGGCCTTCCAGCCTCCTCATCGTGTTCACAAGAAGTGAAAGTGTGACAGTCCTTTCATTCCTTGCAGTGGGCTCCTGGTCACGAAGCACCGTCTGGCACTGCTCACTTGGCCTTGAGGTGGGGCTGCCTGGGCTGTGAGGTGTTGCTGCACATCTGGGGTGTGCAGTGGTTCCTGATTCCTCTGCTCAGATCTTCATGCTTCTCAAGTGCAACCTTTAATGCTTCTGGTGACAGCTTCATCTTCCAGAACAGTGCAGGAGACAGCAGACAAGATGACATCGAAGCTTTTCCTGCGCAAGGGTATTGCACACTTGACTGGTTCATTGACATGGTATCAGTTTGGGTTTTTTTGTTTTTAAATGCAAATTACACTTCTTGTAACCCAAGAATTCACTTAGTCTCGGATTTCAGCTTGTTCTGAGCAAGCTTTGCAGCTTCATGCCTGCAGGCTGATGGTAGAAGTCCATCAACCATTGTTTCTTGCTGTTACTGTTGGTCAGTTCCACTTGAGATGAGAGATTTTCTTCTAAATGTCTTAACCTCTGCTGAGCCATGGCAGGATGATCAGCCTGGTTGTGTATGGCTGTGTGAGCCTTCATCTCCTTGGGGTTCAAGCTGTTGAGGTAGCTTCTGAATCTCAACATTCTTTGTTTTTTCCCAAATTAGTTTGTGTTTCATCTCTGCTGCTTTTACCATTAGGTTTAGAAGATGCTCTCAGGGCAGTGCATTTCTGGCACGTAGCATTGCCAAGGCTTGGGTAAGCAATGAGGAACTTTGTAGCCTGGTTGTTTGTCATTCCTCTGAATACACTGCATTCATTCCCATCTTTGCCTGTTCCTAGTAGGTTTATCTTTTTTCTGTGCTTAAAAAAAAAAAATCCCAATGTACAACAGGAGAAACTTAAAAAGAAAGCTTTATCACTGAAGAATGGGGATATTTATTTACTTACACTGGACCAAGTTGAAGACATGATATTCAAGGACTAAAGTGCAAAATAGCCTAAATACCTTTGGCTGGAATATCCCATTTCTTTTAGTAAGCTGGCGCAGTAACTTGGGTTACCTCTGCCTCCCTTGTTTCCATATTTAATCCTGTATTTTAATTTGTAGGTATTTGTGGAAATGGACACTGTTTATTTTGAAGAACTGCTCAAGATCTTTCCAAATATAATTCAGTAATTTGGGATATTTGATGGCTGTTGTGCTTCATTTCAATTACCTTTGGCTTTATTCTCCCAGAGAGACGGCAGAATAATCTGACACTTAGCTCAAGTGGCATTTTCCTTAAACTGCCTGTGTATTTGACAGTTGATTAGCTATTGATACAGTATTATTACTGGAAATCTCCATAAAACTCATCACATTAATGAGGAGGACGGCCCAGTCTTTGCTGGGATTTTTGTGTCTGTTTTGTACACGTTATTTTTAAGGAGAGATCACATTTCTGCATTCATATCTGCTGACCTCCCACTTCTTTTCCTTGGTGTAGGACTGGAGGGCCTGAACTCTGCTACAGCGGCTTTCTCTTCTTTAAAGTGTAATGATCTCAACTCTGGTCTGTTTTTAGATGCTGAAGGACAGAGACTGTGATGAGCACTAACAGCGATGTGCAACGTGAACTGATGGCAGGTATTCATATCTAGTCCTCGTAGTCTGAGATAAATATGGAAGCCATAGGTGCAGAGTGACTTCTGTGGATTCCTCTGTTCTGGACGAATATTTCAGTGTTGATAGAAACCTTTGTTTCCATAGCGTGTCCAAGAGCTGTTCTGCAGTGGAGAAGGTAAGTTCTACGTGTGGGCAGGTGGTGGACAACCAAACCCTTAATCTGTTCTGATTTTTTTTTTCTCTGACCCAGTCCATAGAGTTTTATTGGACAGATGTTGGACTGATCAGACAGCTGCTGAAACCATGAAGAATTGGGGCATATTTTTATTACTGGGGAGGAAAAGAGATATCTAAGATTTTTAGCCTTTCCACGATGCTCTCAGACACGTTGTTGAATTTTAAGGTGTTTCTGTATGGATCCAGATTGCAATATGCTGTAATTACATTTGTTGTCTTTTGAAGCACAGACTCAGGTGCAGTTCAGTGTCATTCTCTGTTCATTTTCCTGATTGAGGATTACTGTCTCTGCAGTGCTTGTTGCTTGAAACTATTCATTTGCCAGTGTTTATTTCTGTCTTACAAGTTCAGCTGGGTCCTCTTTGCTTTATGGTGAGGGACTGCTGCTGGCTATTAGCTGTGCTTTAAAGACAAACATTCCTATTTTTATTCAAGTTCAGACTGTGTTTGCTCTGAAACCCAGTGGAAGTGCTAGCTGTATCTCAGCTCCCTGATTTGGGTTGATAGGACTTGCCTGTGAATCTTGTTCTGACAGATCATTACCTCCCTGGACTCCTTCCTTAGCTAACTTATCAAAGAATCCAGGTATGCTTTGCCAGGTAAAACCATGTGTAGACAGCAGGGATTTGTTGTTCATGGGAGGAGGGAGGGAGGAGGAATTCGTAGCATGGAAACATGAAATCTGAATCAGTTTGAATTTAAAAACAAAAATCTAGGAGATTCAGTATCTTAATGCTGTGGGTTGGAAGAATGCTGGAGAAGCTCTTGAATATGAGATTATTTTTTTTAAAGTGTCAATAAAATTGTGTGCAATCTGTGCTTTTGCAGTAAATAGAAACTGTACCATGGATTAGCTCATCTTCCAGAAGAACCCCAGCATCTGCCTGCCATGGCAAGTGATCTGAGGAGCTCCAGGTGGGTGTGCTACATGTGTATCGAGTCTTCTCTCTAGATGGTTTACTCTATGAACTGCACATGCATTGTATAATTGTTTCCTACCTGGTCCTTTTGTAATGTCTGTTTGTTTGTTTGTTTTTCAAATAAACATCTTTTGAAGTCATTACTTTGTGGGTGTTTTCCAAGGGTCTGAGTGTTCTCTTGTGTTGCTAGTCCTAGCTGATGTATTTATTCTCTTTGGATCAAACAGGGAAAAGGAGCAGAGAAAGTCATAATTGCTTCAGTTGGGTGCAATTTTATATTAAGCTGCCGTGGCAAAATGCAAACCCTTTTTTCTAAAGACTTTCTGTTTCGAGTATTTTTTTGGAGAGCCCGTAGCAGAGGGAACATAATTGTAAGCAAACCTGAAGAAACTTCTCACGACACAAAATTTATTCTGAATTTACATTTGGAAAGCAGTGATCAATTAGAGCTTAACATCTTGTGACTTTACTCTCCTGTGAAATACCGAATCCTGTGGGAACCTTCAGCTGTATGAAGTGGAGTAGCCCTGCACTTGCAGGAATAATAAAGGTTTGGCTTAATCTTGGCTCATTAGATCCCCCCACCTGGGAGCAATGAGAAGAGCAGAACACACCCAGTGGTCTTTAACACCTCGCTGTCTTTGAAGTCTTCCATTGGATTTCTTTTTTTCAGGCATGAGGGGGTAAAGGTGCCCTGTGTGCTGCCATGGGTGCTGATCTATGTGTGCATGTATGTATTTACTGAGGAATTCCTTTCTAGAAAAGTATTCAGGCATGTCGTGTTGTTCAGCCTGGCTTCGTTTTTCATTTCATATCTGCAGTCATTTCCAGAATCACTCTGATGCTCTTTTTTCCCCTATGCTTATTCCTTTTCACATGCTATGTGCCAGTCCTGCTGAGCAGCAAGTGCTTCCTAATAAACAGCTACCACAGATGCTGGCACAAGACTGTTTTGGAGACCTGACCATGAAAGCAGAATTACAGTTAATCCTGTACCAAACTTGTTAAGCAAATGAAATGAAATAAAATCCAGATGTTCTGAATTTTGGCTCAGCTCCATCTTCGAACAAACACATCTTTGTGACCCCCTGGATTGGGCACAAGGTGACCTCACGTGGGCAGGGAGGAGGGATGGTGAGATGGACAGTTACATTCAGCCCAAATGAAGTGACCAATTGCTGAAACATTTTAGGTTGTACCTTGTAATGTGAATGTCACTTAGGGTTGGGAAGGGTCTGCTTTTCACAGAGCCTGGAGGGATCACTAGGAGAGCAGAGATGAGGAGCCTTGCGCTGCCCTTTGAGCCACAGGAGCACGGTTGCACACATTGTACGTTTATGATGGATGGTGTGAATTCCTGCTCTTTCCAGTGTGACCCGTGAGCTGGAAGAGCATCTCATGTGTGAAGTGCTTTTCAAGAAAGGGCTGAGAGAATGCATTCAGTGTGCAGCTCCTCCCTTGATCTTGTTGCACTGCAGCAACGAGAAAGCTGGGAATGATTCTTAGCACCGTGGGCCATAGGCTGGTGGTGTTGTCAATTTTCTGCTACATTTTAAGGAATGAAGGAACCTACCTCCTACTGCTGGACAGGCTTTAATACATGTGGTCTCAGTTCTTTTTTTTTTTTTCCTTCTGGCAGTTCAGCTTTATCAGAATGTAGCCAAAATTCTTAATGATGTGCAGCTCCCGCTTCTTGAAAGCCATCAACCTTCTGAGTTTGTTTCTTGCAGCTCTTTGCAGGACCTTTTGCTTCCATCTGCTGCATTAAATTGAAATGTGTTTTCTGTCACATTTTTACTTATTTGCTTAACTGAAATGCATATCGATGAGGGCAGATGTGTTAAAGATGTGCATAAGGAAGCGTGGATTCGTTGATCTGTCCTCTTCCAGGGTCCAATCATTTCCTTTTTAGGATTTGAACTCAAGTCAGAACGCAGAAGCCAAGTATTTGCCAGCTTTCCTTCTTAGGAGGAGGATTCCACTTAGACAAAAAAAAATAAAATGTGAGGCAGTGTGGGAGTCTCACTGCTGCAAAGATGGCACCTAGGCAGGGTGCAGCTCGTTCTGCACAGTGTGCTCATGTGCAAGGAGAAATGGGGCAGTGAGCACTCAGGTCACACTGGCAGCAGTGCTGAAGTTCTGCTCCTTTTCACATCGGAGGGGATTTGCAATGGAATCAGGAAAATTACTGTTAAAACTCACTACTCTTGCTTTTTCCTGGCCTGTGCTGCTTTTCATGATCAGACTGAGCCCAGATTTGTTGCTGATGTTTAGTGATTATTTTTGTGGATGCTGTCTAGCAATCTTCAGGGTTGCTGACAAAAGAGCTTGTGTCTGGATTATTGTGGCCACGCTGAGTTACACTGATGGTGTGTGGATGTTGTTGTTTAGAAGTACATCCTGTGACCACTCTCATTGCTTCAGACCTCACTGTTTCTGCTTTCTGATACCTATTGCTTTTTCCTGTACTCTTTCCCTTATGCAGCTTTTCTGCCTTGTGATGTAGCTCCTTCCATGCTGTTTCCTGAGCTAGATGCACAGTTTTCCTTCAGAATATTGGGATAAAATGATGGTGGTGATAATAAAATCTCTTAGGTCGTGACCTTCCTGGACATACAAAACATAGAACCACAGAACGGCTTTGGTTGGAAGGGACCTTAAAGGTTGAGTTCCAGCTGCCTGCCTGGGCTGGGTGCCCCCACTTAGCCATGCTGCCCAGGGCCACCCATGGGCCCAGGCACCTCCAGAGATGGGGCACCCACAGCTCTGGACCGCAGTGTTAGTGCCTCACCGCCCTGAGTGAAGAATTTGCTTCTCACATCTAACTTGGAATGTACATTTACATTTGAAGTTGATTCCTTGACCTCAGATACCAGAAAATGGAAATTCTGGAGCTGTAGGTTCTGTCCTACCCTGTTGTTGCACAAAGTGCTGCTCAAGGTTTTGAAAGTGGAGGGGTATAAACAGGGTGCCTCATCCTTGGAGACATTCAGGGTCAGGCTGGACCAGGCTCTGAGCTCCTGGTGGAGGTGTGGGTGTCCTGGTTCATTGAGGGGTGAGTTGGATCAGATGAACTTTAAAGGTTCCCTCCAATTCAAAAGATTCTATGATTAGCAGGCAATATTGGTGGAAATTGTACGGTTGGACTCAATCTTAGAGGTCTTTGCCAGCATTAGTGATGCTGTGATTATCGCTCCATGAGGTTTTAAAAACAAACAAACCAAGGCAATGGAAGATCTGACCTGCAGCTTCCTTCAGCACATCCACTGTCTGTGCTACTGTATCTTCTGCTACTGCACTACAGTATCAGGAGCTACCAACCTATCAGCCCCACTTTTCTGCTGGGTAGGATCATACAACAGAGCCTCCTGGAAGCTGTGCTGAGGCACATGGAAGAGAGGGATGTCATGCAAAAGAACCTGCATAGCTTCACCAAGGGCAGATCCTCCCTGACCAACCTGGTGGCTTTCTGTGATGGTGTAACTGCATCTTGGACAAGGGAAGAGCCTCTGATGTCATCTGTCTTGACTTCAGTGAGGCCTTTGGCACAGTACCCCATAATATTCTTCTCTCTAAGTTGGACAGATAGGGTTTTGATGGGTGGGCCGTTTGATGGATGAGGAATGGATTACAAGATAACACCCAGGGATTGGTGGTCAGTGGCTCAGTGTGAGGATGGAGATCAATGACAGTAGAGCCCTGTGGGGTCGAACTGGAACCTTTCATATCAGTGGCAGTGGAATTGAGTGCAACCTCAGCAGTGTGAGGATGACACCAAGCTGTGTGGTGTGGTCAGTGTGCCTGAGGGATGAGATGCCATCCAGAGAGACCCAGACAGCTGAGCAGTGGGTCAAGGAGAACACTGAGATTGTGAAGTTCCACAAAGCCAAGAGCAAGGGAGTTGGACTGGATGGCCTTTAAAGGTCCCTTCCAAATCAAACGATTCTGGGATTCTAGGGGAGATGGGCTTGAATGCCTGACAGATGGCACTGATAGATCACAAGAAGGGTTGATGCTTTGGTAACAAAGGCAGCCTGTACCAGGATGGACTGCTGCTGGCATTTCATGATGTCCTTAGTGAGCTTTTCTAATTGAAGAATGGAAAAAAGAAAACCACATTAGAGAAGTTCTGTGTCCCTTACAAGAGACAGGATTGGGGATGGAGAAGGTCTTGGCAGTTGGGTTAGGTAATACACAAATGAGTTTTCTGAGGGTGCTGGATTGTGAGGATGAGAGCTGGGCTGAAGGCTTGGGATTCTGAGCATCTGGGCAACAAAAAGGCATTGTGCCAGATAGGAAAACCAGCTCGGTGTATGAGACAGCAGGGTTGGTACAAGGACCAGCAAACTCTTGCTGATCAGCACTGAGAGCTTGCAGCTCTAGGACAGGATTCAGTGCAGACAGAAGCCTGGTGCTGAGGAGTGACTGAAAGGCATTTGGGTATTGCACCACTGAAAAGGAACAGAAGAAAACAACTTGCACTTTTCGTTGAAGTTTTTGCTTTTTCTTTCTCCAAATTTACTGTGGTTAGCTGAGCAAATGTACCTGTGTGTATGCAGACCTCTGCCTGCCTGTAACTTGTAAATAGCTTCAGAACAGCTACAAAGACACACACACTTGATCTTCATTGCACCTGGTGTGTGGAGCTCACTGCTGGTGTAATATCCCTGATTAATTGGAAGTTAACTGCTGGCAGTGCCTGGATGCTGACACCGTAACGAATGCACGCGGTGGTTTGTGCAGAGAGGTCTGTGTGTGTGCAGAAACTGAAGCGCGCTGCTTGGTCTTCACTGAGCTCTGCTGTTCCCTTTGTGCAGCCATTCGTGTCTGGGTGACAGCTCCTCTCCCCGAGCGTTATCTGCCGTGATGATCTGTCTGGCAGGGCTGCTGTAATTGCCTCCCACACTTCAGTTTTTCTCCCTGATTCCCTCCTACTCCGATGCCTGCAGTGCATTCGAGGCAGAAGGTCCTGACACTGAAGTTCTGTGAATATCTGTGGTTGCTGTGCCCTGATGGGACCCCGTGGCACAGCCTGCCTTTGGCTTCCCCTCTCCAGTGTGTGCTGGGGCTCCTTGTACCCCTGTGCAAGCTGGGGTTACCTCCCGCAGGGCACAGAGTGTCTCAGATGAGATTATAAATCCTTGGGCCATCTTGAATGTGTGGAAATATTTGAGGGGTAGAATAGCTTGGGTCTAAAGGGACCTTAAAGGTCGTGTGGTTCCATGGGCTGGGTGCTCCCTGCCAGCTCAGGTTGGCCATGGGCACCTCCAGGGTTGGGGCACCCACTCTTCTCTGGGCAATAGGAGTAACCCAATGCTGGCACTTTCTTCCTTCATTTTGCTGCTGCAGCTAAGGAGGGCAGTAGTTTTGGAAACTCCCTGAAGTACATGTGCACACACACACACACACACACACATGTATTTCTTTTCCCTCTTTTTATTGCACAATGGAGCCATAAAATAACATATAAGAATTGTTTGCTTTTTTTTTTTTTTTTTGTCTCCTCTGCTTCTCCATCCAGGTGGTTTGGGATGAAACAAGTTGGGAAAAGTGTTGCAGGGGAAGCGCCTGATCCATGGAAGTCTTTCTCTGCAAAGTCCTGGCATGTTCTGAGCAAGTGTTGCAGCACAGCATCCTGGGACAGCAGTACAGAGTGAGCATTGGAGAGGAGGAATTGGATTATTTTGAGTTCTGTAGGAATAGAAGTTAGGACAAATGTAAATGTATTGAGTGAGAATAGAAGATCCCTTCTGTGGGGACAGGGAGACTGCACCATCCTCAGCATGGGATGCGATGCTTGCTGGGAGCTGCTTTTGAAAACAGTTGCAAAAAGCACTTTCCTGTGAGGTTGCTGTTAGAGCCATCTTTTTGTGAGCCTGTATGCTTGTTTCTAGAGCCTGCAGCTATGCTTAGAAAGCAACTAAGGAGCTCATAGAAAGGTTTAGATGGTGAATGTTCTTGAATCAGTGTTGGCATATGCTCTGCCTGAGCAGTTTCTTATCTGCTATGGAAGCAAACCTGGCTCATGGTGAAGAGGGTACCT